TTCTCAGTCTGGAAGGGGCTTTTTTGCCATAGTGAAGAGATTTGCTCTATTCATGGTGAAGCCGTAAACTACTGCAAATTTATTTGGTCCATCTCAACAGGAAGGTACTGAAACGATGCTGCGTGCGCGATGACCTCATTATATTGGCGCGTGAATCGCGCGCCCCCCGGAGCAACCACAGCTGTGGGAGCGTTGACCCAGTCGTTGGTCGATTTGTGGCTGACGATACCTCGTGTCTTTTGCCGCGTTTTTTGCTTTTTTGTCCTGTAGTGTGGTGCCCATTGTTCTATAATCTGATATGTATCGAAATCAACGCCAGTTCACATCTCCCTCTACAATGAGTGCTACAATTAAACCTTTTCACCTTCTGTAATGTTTGCTTATCGCCTTTTAAGTCAATGAAATCGTGTTCCTTCGGAACCGGTTATGTCTAGGAACTCATGCTCAGAAATTCCACGGTGAAAAGAACAAAGAAATTGGTTTCAAGTTCTTCAAGTTGAGACTACGATAGAGCAGTGCTGGACGACTCGAAAATGACGGGTCAAGAGGAAAAAGGAGAATGCTACATGGGAATCAATATTGCGAATAGATTTCACTCAATACTGCGAGCCCATTCCACTTATCACTGTGCCAACGCTCCACGACTGCTGTTGTTGTCGAGATCACAGATGCTCTTTAACCACTTCACTGTGTTATGATGTTGGGGAAGACATTATAATTTGCTAAGAGGAAAAGNCATTATCATTTCAATTTAATGAATCGCCACGCATCCAGCCAAATATTTATAGTATTTCTTGCCACTCAAACTCTTTTCTACTTTCAGGTCTATCATGAAAATTCATTTGTAAGGACAAGTTTATTTGACGAAGAAGTACTACCTTGTCAACCGCCAGGGCAGAATTTCCAACAGAATCGTACGAGGAGGGTGGTAACCTCATCATCAGCAGCGCATCTTGGTGAAATTCTTTTCATTTGACCATTCTTGAAACCGACTAGTTAAATTTGCAGCTATTTAAGCGCATACTTTGTTAAATGTGGACAATGTGACTCCGTTGGAGGTGTGGAAATTACCACGAAGTTTTTCATCTCCGGAGAAAATGCCTAGAATGGTGAGTGTCCTCTATGCTCTTAATTACAGCTCAAAAATGGATTATTCTCAGATCCGTACCGGTGTCAGTGCAATTAAAATGAAGAAAATTCAAAGAATGCGAGACCAGTGCTCTGCGTCGTCCCCAGTTGAAAGCCAAAAGTCAGACCCTCTCGTCGAAGTCGAGTAACTCGGCAAATTGCCAAATGATTCAGCCAATTCATCGTTGTTAATAACTGTACATTCTTTTATTCATATCATATCACTCAGTGACTAATTCTTGCGAATCCTTTGTGTTTTCATGCGTGTATTGATTGTTCTTATTTAATAAGTATTGTTATTTATTTCGTTGAAAATTAATATATTTGCACTTGTTTTGTCTCATGCGTAGTATTTTGCCCAATGTTTTTCTAGTCGATTGCGTTTGCTGTTCTCTTAATATAGTGGACCACAGAAGTGATCTGTTCATTGCTATACTTTTGCCGAACTCGCTTTTTCAAACCAAATCGGAATAGCTCTGTCTTTCATATCGGCATATCCTAAACGTCTCATGCTACTCCCTTCTGTTCTGACTTCGGATTTCCTTTTAATTGTAGTGGCTTTTTCCTTGTCGACATGCTTAAAGGATTGCTGAAATAAACAAATGTTGTGCGAATTTTGTTCGTTTAGATGCACGGTAGTGGAGTCAATTTCATCTTTCATACTTCATAACAACAGCATGATGTCATTGAAGCACTTGTGGTCATTGTACTTGTGTATTTTGTTGATTTCTTAAGTTTCTTTCGTATTTTCTTTGCCTCTTCTAAAGGCTTGCATGCGTGGCGGTACGAGTGTGGACGAAAAGACGACTGAGCCAAGGCGAAGCAAACGCCAACGAATCGACCTCACATCTGAAGAAGGGTAGGCATCTACATATTCTGGCTACCTCCTTTGCTGGCGATGTTGTTTTTTGCTTCTCTTTAAACTTTTTTTTTCAATTGTGGCCCGTAGAAATGGCAACTTTTTCCTCTTCGATTGTGCTTTCCCATTAGGGCAAAGCCGGAGATGGTAAGGGTGGGTGTTCAAGGTTGGCAGAGTTGTCATGATTTGTTGAGTTACTACAAGTAGTCTTCAGTGATGGAGGGCAAATTAAGCAGTGAGTCTTAATACTGTGTGGATTGAATTTTGATTGCTCGCAAGCATTCAAACCGACTTTCAACCACGAGTTTTTCATTAAAAGAGCTCACTAGAGATTGATGTAGTTTAAGGCTCTGCTCACCGCATATCCTAAATTTTGAATAGCTGATAAGAAGTTGATAAGGGCTGATAGAGGACGATATATCAGTATAGTACTTTCTTCACGTCCTCCACCATGGCAACTTATATTGACCTTCTAGGATATGGTAGAACAAATTTAATTTTTTATACCATCCTCACTTCTATAGAGCTGCTCTGCTCACATTGAGCATCTGCCTTAATTATAGCCCCATTGTTCTTTTTCAGATAATGTGAGCACTCAGCAATCTAAACATGTCCTTCTCAGTGTTTCTTCTCAGGTGTTCCTTCCAGGGCCAGCGCGATTTCTGTAGTGGCCAACTCAAACGCACATACACGTGTTAGGAGAAAGAGCTTCTTGTGTAGCTAAGAAAATTTGCCTACCATAATTTTAATTGGTGCGAGTAAAAGCTTTCTAAAATGGCGCGGATATAAACACTGCTATTCATTGGCAAAGACAAAGACCTGAACTGGCTAGGCTTGATATCTTCGAGGCTTCGAATCGTGATGGCCTGTACTTCAGAATATTTCGTACCACAGTAATAATAGTATGGCCATTTTTTTTAGGATTCCTGAAACAGTTTTTTTCATGAGGAGGGAAAGACTACATCGTTTTATAGAGTAGACTTCGATTGTGCGCTTATTCATTGGTTTCAAGTATAGAATACAACATTGTCAAATGACCGCTCCTGATCTTTTGCAGGATAGAATTCAGTTACTACAGCTTTTGATTACTGCTTTACACATTTCCGGCGTAATTTCCTATGTAATGTTACAGGTGTTTCCTCAAACTTTGGCTGCTGTGGCTATCTTATTCATAGTAAATTTCATCCTTCAATTTACTCCACAAAAAATTATTCCAACGCTAGATTGGGTAATCTAAAAGCCCAACTGACGCCTCCTTCAGCAGCTTAACAGAGCACATTATATTACTGCAAATGACAGCATGTTAGTCCCGCTTCCATGCTTTGCGCTTGAAGGTGGGCGAAAAGTCAAAGGCGTGAGGCGATCAGCAAAAGGCGTCGAAAAGTTGATAGCTAATGCAGCATTTTCAAACGAAATCGGAATAGAACAGGCTTGCTTGAGCGCCTTGAAGGTGTCAGAATCTAGCTTGAGTCACCTGAGCTTCATCCTCGTTTTATAGCGATCGACCCCGACTCTCTAGAGGTGTTAGCAATTTCAGCTTTTCGTCGTTTACTCATTCGGCCAGCGCGAAGTATGAAGGCTGGCATTTGAGGATGTAGCTGACGGCTGTTGGGGAGCCTTCCAATTTCGTTCTGAGCGCTTATCCGTTGCCTGGATACTTCTTAATAATTTGTATTCAATCCTAGCATAAGCGATTGCTTGGATGTATTCGAATAAATCAAACTTCACTGAAGCAGGCAACTGCAGAAAATTGCATTTTGGTTTATGAAGCCACGTAGATTTTCTGACTCCGTATTCTTCTATTCGAAATATTCCTCCCTTCTTGAGCGGATGTTTACTTGAATAATTTTTCGCTCTAGAAAGGGTTCAAGAGTACGGTAGTTCAGATTTGATCGCCACGAGCTTGAGCGTGCACTTCTGAAAAGTTTGGAAGAGGAACGTTCAAGGGAGAAGGAGAAGCCGAGTAAAAAGATAAGCAAGCCGAAAACTGATAAGGTGCTTCATTGCTCTACTTTTGACCTATTTGTACCAATAGAGTTCCAATGAGTCGTATTCTTATTTTTTGTTTTATTTTTATTTATTATTTTTCAGAAGAAACCTGTTGCTCGTGCAGTTCCGAAAAAGAGGAAGATCGAGGAGCCTACCCAGAAAGCAGGTAAAACTGTCAAAAAGGAAGAAGGCGAACCGAAGGTATGGGGCCAGCATTGTTTTATTATTGAATCTTATCGTCTCTACTTTTGCATCTTTCAGAAAGTTGAACAGTCTTCAGCAGCTAGCGGAAAAGTCACTGAGAGCGATTCAGTTGCTCCTAAGAAAGCCAAGACTGAGCCTGTGGTAAAACGAAAAGAGGGAAAAGAAGATTCCTCTACTCAAAACCCTTCCCAAAGTGCCAAGCCGAAAAAACAGCCGACAGCTAAAAAGCGTGATCCATCAGTGACGAAGAAAAAGGAGGAAGTGGAAGTAGTCGAGGGGAGCAGTAAATCAGAAGATTCTTCTGCGAAGGAAGCAAAAACAACGGCTGATTCAGCTACGGCCAAGGTTAAAAAAGGGGAAAAAGAAGAAAAAGAGACACCAAAAGAAGCAGCAGCAGCAGAAGGAAATTCCCAGAAGGAGAGTAAGGCAGACCCTGAAGTTCGTCGAGTTCCACCTCCTTATCGATTGCCGTCCAGAGCCAGTGACTTGATCACCTTACTAGCCTGTGCCAAGGAGGTCCTGGGTGATCACGAATACACAAGCGATCAAGACTAGTGCTTTGATCGATTGAACTTTCATATTTACCCCTCTAACCATATTCTCTTCATTTCAATATGCGTCTTCTACTATTATCACTAAGCTTCATATTTTCTCTTCTAATCTTTCAAAGTGGATTTCTACTCAAACGAAAAGAACTTCATATGCATAGTAAATGTAGTGATGCTAAGTTACTTCATTCCGAATGCTGGATGCAACGACAGTTCAGAAAGGTGGGTTCTGTGAAGTTGAATTTTGTAATATTCAATATTCATTACTACTCATTGAATACACTGTTTGTCAAATAATGACCGAAGGATGCGTTGCTACTAATAAGGCGTAGGCCAAAAATTTGCCCGTAGTCCCGTACCTATGAATGGTCTCTTCCCTTTTTCACCGACGTACAATGTCGTGAGTCATGTCCTCATCGTTCACCAGTTCATGCGATGCAATGATTGACATCACTAGTTCTTTGAGTCATGCCAGGATTTGCCTCTCTTTCACGGCACTTCGTTCTTCATACTCTTCTGTTGTTGCATTCGATCGGTACTACTATCGATCGGTGGCTCAGGGTGTGGCATCCAGCCTTTTCTTCTACTTTCTGTTGCTCCATGGGTTTCAAACTCCGAAATATGAAGTTGCCCAAGTTTCTAATTGAATGGGAAAGTTAGCTGGATTCAACCACGCATCAGGCAGTTAAGCCTTATGATGATTGGGAACGAAACCCTTTATAACTAGATGAATCCTTAAATACTCGAGAAATTTCGTAGTGTCGATCCTCGCATCGCACGAACTCTCACGTGGTGGTGATAGCGGCGACTCCCAGACAACGTACATCGAATGCCATTGCGATCGCGCAGCGTATTCAAATGAATATTCATAGCTTCCTTGTCCAAATTATTAGTTTTTGCGAATTTCTCTCTCACTTCATAGACTTTCCACAGCTTTTTCGGTTCTAGACTGCACCGCTGTATACGCGTATATTCCCGTCTTGGCTGCTTTTTGATTCGTCATTTGTTTTGATAGCCTCATCCCATAATCCTTGCCTATTTTCTGAGAGTACTGAGGTTCTACCGCGAAAGGAATCGAAGCACAGTCTCTAACTGAACCTTTGATCACAAGTGCCCCGACGGGTACTACGGCACTCACGCAACACAGAGTGGTTAGGTGTCGACGGGCTCACGAACTTGCGCTATCGCTGCAAGTTTTTAGCGCGGTCTCAGTGAATGATGGTGAATATGATCGTTTATCAAAAGCACCAGCCCACTTATCATTGGCAGCATCTATACAGTTGAGCACGTTGAATACGTTGAGTACTGTAATAGTAGCTTTTAGGTGGTTGTTTTGTTGGTTGATGCACTCCGTTATGACTTCCTATTACCACTCGATGAGAATGCTCCACAATCGTTTTTCCGCGGTCAAATGCCAGGCGTTACAAAACTGATGAATCGTGGTGGTAGGATTGGTCTTTTCCTTGCTGATCCACCTACGACAACTCTTCAAAGAATCAAAGCTCTCACTACAGGTACGAGCTCTTTTTAGTGTTATATCTTACATCTGTTATCTATCTGTTATATCTTAACCGTCTAGATGTTCATGATCTATTTAGTTCGGGAAAATGGCGGACTGCAGAAGTAGAGGGAAATGTGACGGGAATATTCTCATCTAACCTTTTCTTCCCTATTCCCTTGAAGTGCCTCCTTAGGAGTATAGTTTCCATTTCTTTCAAATCTCGTTTTATCCATCACGAAATTAATTTTTCAAAACCTTGTTTTTCCTTTGCCCCGTTTGCTATGTAGCGACAGCCAATATGCAGAGACTTCATGACACCACAAAAACGAAACTCGAGTCTGATTCTGAGTTTGACATGATACTGCTATTCATTTATCATGATTGTCGTAGAATGTAAAAAAATCCGGCCGATACTCATATAAAGCAATTGCAGGGTCATGATAGAAGTCTAAATCTGTTCTTTTCTTTTTTCGTCATAGGAATCCGTTAGGTGAGCGATTGCGGGGGCATATTGTTCGCAAATAATCCAACTTGCTTTTTGGATGCACTATGAAATCAGATGTTGAATCTGAAGTAGCCTCATTTTACCTGCATTTCTACCAATTTTTAAGCTTTTGTCGAAATTTCTAAAATATTGGGAGCCGGGAGAAATGGTCACGCTGGTCTTAGTTAAGGCTTTCCTGTCTAAGACAACGATTTATATGTTCGACGAATTGAATAGCCTAACACACAAGATTTCATGGTTCTGCCCTGTTAAATGATGTAACAATGTGAACATCAGTTGATGGTGTCATATCCAGCTATCATCCGTTCGTTATTGAGTAGCACCTTTAGAAGAACCAAATGAAAATCAACAAAGGCTGCACCAGAGGATATTTCGTATAATTCTAGGAACATTGCCAACCTTCATAGACGCTGGTGAAAATTTTGCTCCAAGTCCGAATATCAATGAAGATAACGTTCTCTTTCAAGCAAAAAGCAGGAATCTCAGTGTGACCTTCATGGGTGATGACACATGGTGAGTGATGCTCACGTTGTTGGGTGGCACTAAACATAAACAATTATGTCCTAGGGTCCGTTTTGCGCTCATTGTAAGCTTTTTTTCCAAAAAGTCGCTCGGGTTGGTACATCGCCTCAGGATGAAGCGCAGTTTCCTAAAGCTAGAAGCATAGATGTAACACGCTTTGCATCCACTTTTGGTTCAGTGTCGGTTGCAATACCTGTTGCTAGTTATTTACCTGATGTTACATTCAGTGTGTTTTTTGGTACCTTATTCAAGCTCGGTTCAGGACATCTTTATATCCAAACGTTTTCACAAAAACCTATCCATTTGACAGCTTCGATATCAACGATCTCAATAGTGTTGATGACGCCGTACGAGGTGGGTCATCTTCTAATTGTTCTTGTTTTTGTTTATCAGTTCCACCAGATGGACGATCTAGAACAAAAAACAATTCTTTTTATATTATTTTTTGTCGAGTCACCTCCGTCAAAAGTTCGTTTTTAATGATTAGTAAAGCATCAACGATATTGAAGAAAAATCGTTAATTTTTTGTGAATACGACATTTTGTCAAATTTGGCGGGAATTTTTCCGAAATTTTGGTATTTTATTTTATTAGGCGATATTTTCATTCCTTGAAATCGACCTAGTCCAGTGATGAACTTTTGAACCCAATTGTAACTTATTCTTGCTTGCCTGTGCTCATACAAACCAGTACAGGCTGCATAAACCACTTGCTATCGAATTCTTTTCTTTCAGAACTGCTGCGTGAAGAAATGCGCTCTCCACATCCTTCCGATCTCGTTATCGCACACATTCTGGGAGTAGACCATTGCGGACATAAGCACGGACCGAACCATTTTCAAATGGCCGATATCTTGAGAAAGGTCAGTTCATTTTGATTCCGGAGAGTTTGAATTTTAAATTATTGACTCAACTGGTTCTGTTATTTATTATCCTTTGAACTCGATGTTTCCACATGTACCATAACTAGGTGTTCTTCAGACTGATAATATCATTATGGAAACCGCAAATGCTCTATCAAATGATGATTTACTCATCGTCTTGGGAGATCATGGCATGACTACTACAGGAGATCACGGCGGTGAGAGCGACGATGAAGTACATGCTGGTCTTTTGGTTTGTTTACAGGAGCTTACTATGCTGCATTTTCATGTCATCTGTTTGTTCATTATGAGATAAACATAAATATATCACTTGCAGATATTTTCACCTGGAAAAAAGTTTCCTCCTCTTCCCAATGGTCTCTTTCAAATCGATATCGTACCGACATTGTCACTTCTTCTTGGTCTTCCTATTCCATTTTCTAATCTGGGTATCGTGATTGAATCGCTTTTCCCAACGAATCTGACAGAGCAAGCAATCGCTTTGAATTATGAACAAGTTCGAAGGTGACTTTTTTGGAAATTTTGAAAGTTGATTTTACATTTCCGTCATTTGTTCCGATTAAAGTCATAAAAGCTTCCTTATCCCTCACTAATATGAATGACTTCAGTTCTTTTTGGATAGGGCCATCGAGTAGGTAGCCTTTGAGATGTGGTATAGCAAACGGGTTGTCTGTGCCTGTTTCGAGGTGATAAATTTGACAAGCCTTAGAGCATCTCTTGTTGGTGAGTTGTCGAAGTTGGCACGGAAGAGCAACGCGTTTTGGCACTTGAAGCTTGAAGATAGGTTCATTCTTGCCNCCCCCCCCCCCCCCCCTGTTTTGAGGAATAGTTTACAAACACGTCATTCCCTTGACTTTATGCTGTCATTGTTCAGATTTGCTACCTCCTATGCGGCTGCAAACCCCTCATTCGAAATTTCAGAAATCATCCTTCATGACACAACAGTGTCTGGCGAACAGCTAGGGTGCGTTTTTAAACATAATGTGGCTTCTGTTTTACGAACGTTGAAGTTTTTTGCCGTATTCATTCATCATCTTGAGTCGGTAATACAGTTGGTAATGAGGTAATGTGAGGTAACTATAACGTTTTCGAGACGACATAGAGTTTTCGTGCGCTTGAATGTGTCAATTTCGAGTCTTAGTGAGATTTCACATCAGTGAAAAGCTATTCTTGAACTTCGATTTGGTACTCGATGTTCGAACTGTAAGTGCGGTAGCATCGCCGCTGCTTGTTCCTAACCCATCCTCAAAAAATCACACTTATTTGGCTGGTTTTTCGATTAATTAAGCGATTTTTGATTAAGGACGATTCGGCGTCTTCAAGCTTCGCTTCGCGCAGCATGGACTCAATTTGATGTGACGTCGATGAGATTGGGAATGTTTTGCTTCATAGACACGTTGCTCTTCCTATTCTCGTCTCGTCCTTTGTCCACAGCCCAATCGGTCGTGAGGTCTGGATGTCTTCTCCTTCAACTTTCCGTCATTTTCGGCGGTACAAATGGGAACCCGGCTGTGTCGCTATTACTTGTACGTCTGTTCAGTTTTTTTTTNTTTTTTTTTATGGCAGTGCAAATTGCGTTAAAGTTTAGTGCCACCGAAATATGATTTCAGGCTGTCCTACCGATATCAGTTCTTACATCTGTAATTCCTATCATTTCTAATCTGTTTTCAATGCGACCACCCCAAGTGCCTCTGCTTTTTGCGTATTCATGCGTTTTCCTGCATTCGGTCTCATTTCTTTCTAATAGTTATGTGGTTTATGAAGGTCACGTGCTGAGGTTCTTGGCACAAAGTGCATTGTTTATTTGTTTTGCTGATAAGATTGTCAGGTAAATGAATACTTTGCAATTGTTCACCCACTTATGTGATCGCTTTAGTTTTGCAGGGCTGCCCCTGATCGCAAGCAACCACGTGTTTCTTCAGTTCTGGCAGCTTTGATTAGCCGACTGCCTCGTTGGGATGTAGGGGTGTTTGGATTTGCTCTCGCGGTACTTCGTTTAGAACCACTTTTCCATCGATGTCGAGAGGAGGAGGTGAACTGCCAGCAATGGTTCCCCCTGGAATTGCTATCTTCGCTGTCTTGTGAGTTTTTAGTATTACATATTGATTGATTTCTTGCTTTATTTCTTTGATCACATTTTGCTTTTCGTTTTCGCATAACGCGACTTTCGATTCCTCGTTTTTTTCTGTTTGCAAAATGGTTTTTGTGTCTTGTTCACGGTGAGCACAGCTAACCAGCACAGCGTTAGTATATAATGATTAGTTCGAGCTTTCTGGTCTTTTTCTTCAAACCGATTTTCATCTGTAATTTTGAATATACACATTTGGTTCCAGCTGATGCACTATTCTGGCGATTCGTGTTGGCTACAGCTACATTATTTTCGTTGAATGTCCTTGTTGGTCGTGTTCTGCCTGATGTCTTACCTAACTTTCTAAGAGTGAGCTTTCCATTTACGATTTTTGTCGCGAACGTTCTCGACGTGTATTTTGAAAGCTTAACTGCACTTAAATGTGGTCGCGAAATTCGGCTGACCTAAATGCACTTTTCACACGAAACTTTCAAACATTTGAAAAGTTATTTTTATAATGTTTACTAGCATTTCCTTTTGGTGGAGGCTAGATATCTATAGTAGTTTACTGAAAAGTGTGCTCAAACAAGAAGGGGAAGCATAAAAGTAGGGGATGCAAAGGAAATAAAATGAAAAAATGGGGCGATGAAGTGCTGAGTTTCGTCCATAGTGTTCGACTATGAGAACGGTGTCACCTATATACCCTTTTTAAAACTAGCATTCTCTGAACTCTTGGCTTTAAGATCGCTAGAGCGTTGTCATGGCCAGTACATGCATGTCTGACCTTCCATCATTTGGTACGACTTACTCCAGAAACTAGTGTGATGCAGCGGCAGACGCAGTTGCTGGGATTGGCTCTTGCCCAGGTAAGGTGATTGATTGTTTTATGCATAGTATTTCTGGTATGTGTAGGAGCTTGAGTTTCTACTCTTTGAATATCTGTCTAATGGTGGAATGGAAACTTTTATCATAATCGCAGATCTGAATCCTTTTACCGTTTCCAAGATCCAATAATTCTCGTTATCCGTCAAGCTGAGATTTGTGTCTTCTTTTCTCATAGCATAGAGATCCAGAGAAATGGTGGTTTTTGAGTACCTAGGTGACTATATTTCCCAAATTCATAAAGTCGGGATAAATTGAGGATGTTACGTGAAAAAGGGCGTTTCTTTTCGTTTTCCAAAAGTCAGTAGATCAAGTTATCGCTTTTCAGGGCGTGTATCTGTGTTCAGCGATAGCAGCGCTCCTTTGTATTTGTTCAAGATCGTGGGTTTTTTCTCATTACATTTCCTTATTCTCTATTCCCCAATCCCAAAATGACCCTCTCCCTGTTCTTCAAAGTTTTCCACGAGGGCGGGTGCCAAAATTAGGTTGCCGAGTGTTGCGTCCTAGTTCCGATAAGGCAGCCGTGTAGGTGGGATCCAGATGTCTGCCAAGCTTGGCTATTTCTTGCTTAATCTGTGCTTTTCCGTTCTTTTGTGATGGCGACTCATTCTTTATTTTAGTAGCTCCAGGAGTGCAGCCTACCTGTGCCTAGTACATACCATCTGCTGGCCGCTGTTCCTTCTACTTGGCGATGGTCTCCAACCATCTCTAGTTGCATTTCTTTTCATTCTCTACGCTTGTATCCATCTATGCGATGCAGGTTCGTCATTTTACAGTAATTGGTGACTATGGCTCTTTTACAATTTGCGATGAATTTATGTTGTTTGTAACTACCGTAGTTTTCAAAGGCTGAAAAGTTGTAAAAATTACCTACTTATTTTGAAATATTTTTCGCTGAAAGCCATTATTGGGACAAACTTCAGGAATCATGGTAATGGTGTTTATAGACAGTTCGATAGACCTCTAATTGTTGTACAGTTACATTTTAGAGAATTCGTTAGGAATAGTTGTAGATGATTTTCTGTTTCAGCCGTTTTGCCTCCACTCTTTGCAATTCTCATTCCATTAGGTTTCTACCTCACCGGACACTCTCCAACAATTCCAGCCATTCCGTGGCATGCGGCTTTCATCGGTCTACCTGGTAATTTTCCGTATCGTGTTGTTCCTGCAATTCTTGTACTTTCCCATCTTGCGATGTCTGCAATCATAGTGCCTCTGGTAATACCTCTTCACCCATTCACTAACGCTGAGTCACTGTATTCTTTGGTTGGCTTCTCAGCAATTCCTTCATTGTTCTCATGTATTGCTGCCACAATCCATAAAAGGCATTTGATGGTATGGAAAATTTTTGCGCCACGATTCATTTTTGAAAGTTTTTTGTTTATTTATTTTCTTTGTGTATCGAATTTGGTTTTATTTATATGTAAAAGAATGAAACTTCTATAACCGAAGCGTCCATTTGCCGACTCGCGTTTACTCTTATGGTTTATTTTGGCAATCTGTAGTATTCATAGCCTCTGGAAATTGCTCAGCAGATTGTTGAATTCGCTATGTCACTCTGGTCACCGCTCACTGTCGTTGATTGAGATTCTTTTTGTTTTTTTTTNTTTTTTTTCTCTTGTATGTGTAATACTTAAAATTATATTTGGTATAAGTCGTATTTACATAAGAATTGTGATTCATAATAAACTCAAATATTTCGATTCATAGAAAAAAGGGTTTTCTGGTGTATTCTAATATTTTGATGACAATAAAAGGCTATTCTGTAACTTCTAATCTGTTACGTCAAAAAAAAAAAAAGAAATGTTTACTAACTAAACTGACAAGGTGTTTGAAATGTCATATTTGGTCCTTTCTCTTCGTATAGTAATTGCTGAGGTTTTGCTGCCCACATGGTGGGTTCGTAGAGGTGATATATTTATGTACCTTCCTATTTCGTTCTAAAAAAAACAAGCAAAATCTAGTCTGTACAGAGCTTCTGAAAATTTTCAACCTCTTTTTTTGCGAAGATCACATTGACGTAACTTTTCGTACGTATAGAGATGTCTTGCCCTCCTTTGCTGAGTGAGCTAATCATTCAGAAGTCACGTTTACTTCATTAGGGGTGTTTGGTGGAGTTTGCTGACAGCGAGGGGCAGATCCCATCTTTGCATCTGTGCAAGCTATTTTTTAGAGGGTCTGGTGCAAGGAAAAAGGGGCAATCGGAGGATTGCGCCACGCCCATTACTAGTCTGGACCTTTTAGCTGAGAATGCGTTCGTGGTGTATAAATAAGGTTGATGTAAACCTCTGAAAACGGATCCATAGCCGTATTACTGTAAGAGCCGGGTGCCCATTCTGAATTTCGTTACCATTAGGCCTGTTTTAGTGACTGTTTATGTAATTGTTTGACTTAGTCAGTTGGTACACCACGCCCCAGGACCACCTCTTGGGTCCTACTTTGGGCAGCTTGGATCCTTTAAAGGCACAGTTCACGATATTTTTGAGTTACCCGTTTATTGCAATTGCGCAAAGAGCTGGCTACATCAAGCCAGAACTGTACAGAACTGTCTTTTCTATCGCTATGGATCATAACAAATTGTTTGAACTTCCTACATGGGTTCCCTTGTGATCGGTGCAGCCTCTACAATGCCGGAGAAACTCGTCCGAGGATACACACGGGCCAATCTTTGAGCTTTTATAACTCCCTAAATGAGCCGTTTCCCGACCCAGTAGTGCCAGATATGGTATACGTGGGGTCCTCAAATTCATCCTGTGGAGGAACCTCAGAAACCATTTTTATCGTGAACTGTGCCTTTAAAAAGTCGTATTACTATGCGTAATGAATAGGTAGGTTGGTTAGGTCGTCTAAAGAAACGCATAGCACACGGAAAGCCTAAAATAACATCCTCCGGATGAGGTTCGTTTATCGAATTCCTGAAGATCGAGCTTATTTGATCTACACCAATCATTACCGTGGAATCGAGCGCATAGCGCGCAGCCACACCTTTTCAACGGCTTTTCCTCGGTATTTTCCCCTGTCACTTCCTTTTTCATTCCATCATTCCTCACCATTTCTTCATGTTTACATGTTTATTTGTATGTTTGTCTACACGTTGGTTCTGTTTACATGTTTATTTGTCTTGAACTCAATAACTATTGAAGCTACAGCAAAGAATAATCGATGGTTTATGGTGAGTTACCAGCCGATTAGTAGTCAAGCTAGATTAGGTTATTTTTACATGTTTGTATTTATTTCTTTTCTTGTTTTACCATATCCTTTATAACCTATAAAAACACACTTTACATTGTTAAATTGAAAGTTTACATTAATAGTGGTGATATGGCGAGATTAATTTGCAATGATTATTCGTCAACATTAATCGAAAGGCACTGATAATACCCGCAACTAAGTAGAAAAGGAAAAATTCTGAATTCTTATACTAAATAATGATTATCTTATTTTTGTACATTATCGTTCATGTTCTTCTGACATTAAAAGTAGCAGATTCTGAAGGATTCCTGTAAGTTTGCGGGCAAGCTGAAGTGAACTCTGCGAGGGCGCCTGAAATGGTCGATTGATCTGTGGATTACAGTCGATCGATATCGGATAGTCCATAATCAATTTACCTCGTCTAATAGCTCCTGGAGACTTTTTATGACGTCCTCTTTGGATGTTGGCTTAGCGTTGCCATTATTAGGAGTGGGTAATTCTAAAAAGAGCTCATGTCTGAGTTTTTAGTTTCTACAATAAAGTAGACGATATTAGGATGAAATGTAAACAAATGGGAGTCACCCCATGTCTCTAACACTAGCCGCAGGGTGTGGTGCGCTAGGAACGAAATGGTCGCGGTGAGAGTTGCGTCGCGCGCGAAGGAATGTAACAAAGTGCAGCAGCAAATAAGAAATACAGGAACAAAAGAACTAAAGTAGAATCATGCATAAAATAATGATAGCATATCGGTTGAGCTGTATGAAGAACGCTAGAGCTGTAATAACGGCGAATGAGTGGTCCGCGACAGCCGCGTGCGGCGAATCGATTACCAAAAATCGTTCCTAACGCCCGTCTCCCCTAGCCGCAAGAGCGCGAGGATTAGGGACAGCCGGCTCTAGGGACCATTAACTAGGCAAAAAAACATTTTGTAGCCAGAGGAATATAGTTTTTTTCACTACGATAAGGGAAGAGGCATCCGGCTTGGTGAAGTGATTACTTGGTGCGAAAAGCTGGAATGGTGAAAGAATCTTGACATTCAGTTGATCTGTAATTCATTTTTTTCAACAGTTAAGCGATGGCGCCCATTTTTATACGTCCATATATATGATTCTTTGGATTTCCTCGGTATTTATTTATTTATTGTGGTCCCAATGGTGCATGGTGAACCTGCTTCCTTCGAGGGCTCAGAAATATTTGTTTCTGTATATCTCTTTTATAATAGTCAAGACTGCCTGATCATGTAAACAATTATTTGCCCCCTTCTGACGCTTTCCGCAGAACCCGATCGTTTCTGGTTGAATTGGCCATTATACTTTTGTCGGCACTTCCACCGTATCGCTTCTGTCATTTATTTCCACCCATCTAAAGGATTCTTCATTGCAGGATTGGGCCAGTGATTTGGATTGATTACAAAGATCGAAAACGATGCTAATTGAATACTAGCTGGAAACCTGCGCAATTGGTTGCAAAGGAATCCTGAGGATACTTGCAGGTAAGCACCTCTTGGGTTNTTCTTTTCAGTTACCTATTTTTTTCGCCTCAACTAACTACTTCTTCGCTCACAGTGACTAGTCTCATGAGTTCTTTACAAACTACTTGTATGGTTTTTGGTGCGGATTTCATCGAATAAAAGAACTGTCAGGTCGTAATATGGGCAAGTGGCTGACATTAGCTTTCCTGGTGGGCAGAGTTTTCAATTTTCACCATAAACCCTCTGAGGGTAGCTGAGGGTAGGGGTGGCGGCGGCTAACGAGCACTTTTAGAGAAATATTCGGAAAGTAACTTATAGAAATGATGGACCCACAAGTACAAGCAACCTTCTTGTTACGGCAACAATGATATTAAGATTAATCCTGAGATTTTTCGAGAAAAGAATATGGATTAGTCCAAACCCACCATTGTCAAGGTTCCCATTGCTGAAATGTTTGATAGGGGTTTCTTCAACGGCTTCCACAGGCGTATTGATTGTAGAGGTGTGGTATTGGAATGGTGTTGTACTTCTGTGTGGATCAGTTGGTGTGAATGTACTTCGAGCCGTAGTGGTTGTCGTAGGAATCGTTCCCGTGAATTCTTCACGTTGATCCGATGGAGGAAAAACGAACGGCTCTACTAGAAAGAGCAGAATGTGAAGTGGCAACTTTAAATCTGGGAAAAAACACAGTTATTCCCAAGATGAGAAAGGACGAGATTCGCTACTACCGTCAAATTCAGTATCGAATCCTGGTTGAACTGAGTCTCTCATTCCTGGGGTAAATTGGGCTGGGTAAAATCACGTATTAGCCATTACAGATTTGTATTGATATACAGTAGCGCTCAAAAGTATCCAGCCATTCAGCTTTCACGCTTTTTCGTTCATAACTTTTTTCTTAGTGGAGCAAATCGCGCGAAATTTTGATATGGTTAACTTAAGCATTTTCCACACCATCCTGTTTGACGGCAAAGCAGNAAACCTACACAACTGAGAGCAGGATGGTTTTTGCTGTAGCAGACTTCGTTTAAACAAAGTTAGTGACGTCTGTAGTTATTTGCACCTGATGTGCGTTATTCTTCTCCACTGTGTTCAGTATTAGCGCTCGTATACTTTGGACATGGCAAAAACAAAAGAAATCCCAGAAGTACCAGTGTCCCTATTTCCAGTTGATTTTGAGTTCAAGCACTTCGGTGTATCTGGAGCACGATCAGTTTGCAGTTTAATAATGGTAAATATTCATAATACACCCATGCTACACGGATTTTAATTTCGCATGATTACATCAAACCACAAAGGAGTCACGACTGAAAATGAAACTGAAGAAGTATTTCGCCGAATACTTTTGAGCGCTACTGTAGGTATAGGCAGCGGAATGCTTCATTTTTACCGCAATGTTCCTATTTCTTCAGGGTCAGTGATCCCCTATATCTGTACGTAACGATAAAAGCACTGAATAATCCAGTTTGGATTTGGTCTGTTCCACACATCATCTTTACAAGTGATAGATAGGTGGTTTAATTTTTCCAACGTTATAAATAGTTGTGGGGCAAGATCCATTTACCTGGGTCACCATTTCCGAAACTAAAGTGCTTGTATGTCGTAGTCTCCGGAGTTTCAACGAATGGATTCAAAGACGATGTGTGATAGACGAATGAACTCCCTTTAGTGGCCGTTTCAACTCCGACACTTTCTTTTGTTGCCTCGTCGTTCTGGATTACTGAAAGATGATATGTATTAAAATTAAAAATGTTGGGACAATGTATGATCTCACTTTAAAAGTCTCTAGCGCAAGTAGGAAGGTTAAAGGTGACAGTTTGGCAATGGGATGTGGCCGTGGTCAACATGGGTTGTACAGTAAGCCTGGAGCATGTGGTGGGACAACTAGCTGTACACCAGAGTACCCTCCGAACCCGACCAGCGTTGTGGTTACGAACTAAGTGCCAATATAACCAGAGTTAATCCCTCTACACGTGCCACCGCTCTCAGTGTGTTGGGGACACCACGCGCTCGGAGGAAATCGGTCGGTCACGTCAGGACCTTTACTTTCCCCTTCAACATGTAGGAGGGAGAGGTGTTGATAAGACTAGGCGGAATCGTCGCCCACTGACCTCATTCCGACGAGTTGTCGGTGGTAGCGTGGACTGAACCGAGCTTATTTCATCGTACCCTCTAACGCTTACCATTATCGGAAACGACCTCTTCGTCGTTGTCATCTTCGGCGTTGCCAAAACTGAAATGCTTGAAGGTGGTGACTTCTATGGGATGTGTGGGTGGATATTGGGTTGAGGTATTGTAGACGAATGCTTTGGTATGTGAAGAATTGCTGAGTCGTTTGCTTTCGACTGTTACCTGAAAATCATAACCGTTTTCATTGAAAAGGAAATTCAACAATATTAAAAGTCGATGGAAGTGACAGAACGGATTCAGTGGAAAAGCAAAAAATAAAGACCTCCAGTGTTGAATGAGTGGTCTTTGCGACATCGTCGCTAAGGCGAACCAAGTTGGCAATCTCGTTGTCTTCTCGATCGGCATCTGAAACCAATAGAAATACCATCAATGACTTCGACGAAGAAGGTGGCTTGTTCTCCCTTACGGTTTTGCCAATTTCCTCCTCTTGCAGCTTATTCTCAGGTCGTAGAAGCACAGTTCACGATAATTTTGAGATATCTAATTTTAGACGGATAGTGGAAGTTAAGAATAGAAAAGTAGCGAAGGTAACACGAAAGTCTGCGTATTCAGATAAAGCGAGGCTTCAAAAATCTACTTAAATTATGGCTTGGACGAGGATGTGGCGACAAAAGTTGCATGGAAGTGGTATTTGGACGAGCTGTCCGAATGTGTGTACCATTGCCTACAGTTGGCTACAGTATGTTGTCTGTGTGTAACGTGTGCACTTTGGTGCGATTGGTGCAACCTCAACTGCCTCTAAAACGCCGTGAGAACTCGTCCGTCTAGGGTGTATACATCGGCTGAGCTATTTTTTGCGTCGTTTCTATAACAACTTTCTTCACGAAAACACAATCTAACATTCACGTTACCCATAGAATTGCTACCAGGCTCAGTGCTAACAAGCTGGGAGAAGTATCCAACTTGCCTTCATTGTTCTGCAGTCGACGTGCTACCATAAATCCGGCGGTTTTTCCTGATAGAATTGCACCATCCATCAGTCCCATAGAGACGTTCGAGTATTCGGCCGAGGCAAACGAGATCCGCTGGATGAGCTTACTCACTTTCAATATATTTAATCATCAAAAAGTCACTCGTCAAACCTCTCCGTGGTTGTTCACTCCTTGTAGGAAGCGCAAGAAGGCGGTGTCGATATGTGGCGGCAGAACAGCTATAGAACCACGACTCAACGGATCCGTCGAGAACTCTTCTTCGCTAAAACATTAACTTTAGGTAGTCACGCTGAAGAGGATCTGGAGGGCATGGGCGGAATTCTAAGAAAGCTGCCTGTTGGTGATTAATCTTAGGTGTCCGTCTTCTCAAGCATGTTTAGGAGTTCATGAACCTTTTTTCGGTTTTCAAATTATTTTCAAACTTTGTGACATTTTGCCACTTACCTGATGGCCAACGGTTGTAGTCCATTGCTTCCCAGTGATTGTGTAATGATATCTGCATAGGCAGATCGTCTTGAGTCTGGAGCCATATCCCTTGCAAAATGTGCGATTCCCCACAGCACACCATTAGCTCCATGTCCGGCTTCAATTAGTTTAATTATTCAAACGCTACAAAATTCTATCGAGCACAGAAAAGCTGAAAAGATTCGCGTTTGCGGTATGGAACTATTACGAGAGCTCAGTAAAAGTCATAATGGAAATCGGGTCCTTAAAAGGTTAGATAGGTTAATGTAGCAACCCTCATGTTATGATGTTTCCTTCTCTCTCACCTTCTTGGACAACGGCAGATGCCGTAGACGGTGAGCTTGCTAAGACCGAGTCGTCATAATTGACAGGCATAGGAAACCGTGTAAGGATCCTTTATTGTTCAATCGTGGGCTGTACTACAATGGGCGATCACCGCTGAGCAAACCAAGTTTCAGCGGGCTGGCAACATTGACGGGTCCTACGAAACTGCCCTTCAGGACAACACTTCATTCAGAGTGGCCGCTCTCTCTTCACTTCGTTTTCTGCATATTAGTTTTTCCTTGCCCAAACCAAGTTTCAGCGGGCTGGCATCATTGACGGGTCCTACGAAACTACTTTTCAGGACGACACTTCATTCACAGTGGGCCGCTGTCTCTTCGCTTCGTTTTCCGCAATTGGTTTTTCCATCCCTGCTTGCATATGTGGGTACGAACATAGCGACATCATTTGAAAAAGGGCGTGATAGACTTAGCTGAACTCTTAAGCTGCAATGGAGGATCTTGACTTATCCACCTGGTATCGCCGCTCGTGATGTGACGGACTCTTTGACATCTTTGACTCACACAATACATGGAAGTCGATCAAGTAGAGGCATTCTCTACGAACATTTCCTTCTCACCC